AGCAGCAGCAGCAGCAGCAGCAGCAGCGGTAGCGGCAGTGACAGCGGCAGCGACACGGACATCCCGGCCCTCCGCGGGCCCGAGGGACGGAAGCTCGCCCGCTTTGGCGAGCCGGCGGAGCTCACCAGCCGCCGACTCAGGGAGAACCCTCGCCGGAACACGAGGTACGAGTCGTCGCCGTCGCCAACGAATGCCGAAGGCCTGCTCGCCCGCCATGCGTCGGAGGCGGGGCTGCCCATCCTGCCCATCAACAGCACGACGGAGCACACCCACTGGATGATCGCGTGTGTGGTCGACGTGGTGGAAGAGCTAGAGGCGAGGGCGGTGCAAGCGCTGCTGTGCGAGCGCGCGGAGGAGGCCAACATCGCGCGCCAAGAGGCAGAGGACTTCCTGCTGGGAGCGGAGGACCTCGTGCTCAACTCTCCAGACGCCTTCGCGAGGGCCCTGGCGTCGACCGAGCTGAGTACAGAATCCCCCATAGGCAAGCGTCCGAGTGACGTCGAATCCCCCCCCATGACCGTAGCCGGCGTTAACAAGTCTGTGTACAGAGAGGGATGGGAACAGGCCATGAGGGAAGAGTTTGATGGGCACTTGGGCACGGGAACGTTTTCATTCGTAGACGGTACGCCAGAGGGGCGTAGACCTGTGAGCTCGAAGTGGCGCTTCACTTGGAAGACAAACAAGGAGGGGAAAATTGAGAAGTTCAAAGCGCGTCTGGTCGCTAGGGGGTTTTCGCAAATCCCGAACGTGGACTACTTCCACTCATCCTCCCCTTGCCCATCATCCGCATCCATTAAACTGATGCTTGCGGTAGCCAACGAGAAATCGCTGAAACTCAACCACTGGGATGTCAAGCAGGCGTTTACACACGCTAAGTTGGACGAGGATGTGTTTCTGAGGCTCCCCGCGGGGTGCGGGGAAAAATCCCACAAAGTTGTGAAGGCTGAGCGTGCTATTTACGGCTTGAAGCAGAGCGGCAGGCAGTGGGGGTACCACGCTGCCGATACTCTTGTAGAAAACGGGTTCGAGCAGTGCAAGGCTGACCCGTGCGTCTTCCGCAAGATGAAAGACGATGTCGTGGTGATGATTATCGTGATTTATGTGGATGACATTTTGGTGGCTGGGTCTGATGATGATTGCAAGGAGTTGCTTGCTTCCCTCAACAAGGCATTCCCCACCAAAGACCTTGGAGAGTGCGTGTGGTTCGACGGGTGTGCCGTCGAGAGAGACCTAGAGGCTGGGACCCTTAGAATCTCCCAAACCGCGTACATTGACAGCATCGTGAATCGCTTTGATGTGCAGTCGACCTCCTCCATCCCTGCTTCCCCTGGTGTCGACATAGGACCGAAGCGGGATGACGAGAGTGGAGGGGAATGGCCGGTGAGGGAGGCCATCGGCAGCATGATGTGGGTGTCGACGTTCTCGCGCCCGGACATCTCGTTCGCCGTGCGTGCGGTAGCGCGCCACGCCCATGCCCCTGCCGAGAGGCACTGGAAGGCGATCGTGAAGATCCTCGCCTACCTCAAAGAGACGAGGGACCTCGGGATCACCTACAAACGGGGATCGGGGTTGGGGCTGGAGGTGTACGTGGACGCTAGCTACGCCGACGCTGAGGATAGGCGTTCGGTGTCAGGGCTGGCAACAACGGTTGGAGGGACCGTCATCAGCCACGGTAGCAAGACGCAAGCTATCGTATCTTTGTCGTCTACGGAGGCAGAGTACATTGCTGCCGGGGAGGGTGTGAAGGAAGCTTTGTTTGTGCGTGCAGTGCTTTCGTTTATTGCCCCAGAGACCAGTGGCAGCAGCATTCAGGTCCTTGAGGACAATCAGGGGGCTATGGCTTTGGTGCAGAACCCCCTTAGCTCAGCGCGTAGCAAGCACATCGACGTGCGGTACCACTTCATTCGTGGATTGTTTAGGTCGGGGGAAATCTCGATCAAGTTTGTGTCGACGTCGGAGCAGCATGCCGATATGCTTACCAAGGCTCTTAGCAAGAGCAGTCTGCAGTACCACCGGCGCAAGTTGATGAATTTGCCGGAGTAGCTAGCAGTTTTTAGCACTTGGGAGCGGCCATGTTTACCATGCGGGAAAGCCGCATTACTGTCGCGGTCTGTCTACCCATGGCAGCAGTAGGGGGCGTTGGGAGACCATCGTCCGGGGGAACGTAGTCCCTTAAGATCTTGTCTTCGCCTTGGCCTTTCTGATAAGTGCGGCCGTTGTGCATCCGCCGTGATAGCAATGGTTTTTGTGTTGGATAGGGTTTTCTTCGGAGGGGTTTTGCCCGGGGGCCGGGTTTCCCCTCCACCACCGTATGTTTTTTTTTTTATGTATCCGGGGTGTTTTTGCCCCACTGATGGTTAGTCACTCGCGTGAAGAACCAGGGAGGGTGTTCGTGGGTCTACGGACATGGTGGATACATTACCCGTACGTACAAGTGTGACGCAGATGGTGTAGAACCTTTAAGGTAGGGGTACGGTGATGAAGCACAGGGACCCCCTTTGTTGAGTGCAGCAGCCGTGCTGCTACTCTCTCTCTCTCTCTCCTCCTCCTTTCCGAGCACGACAGCGTCCTGGGTACGAGCGTTGTCTCACCGTCTGAAGTTAATACACTACACAAACAAGTCCCGATAAGTACGCGGAGTACGGCCGACAAACAGCACGGCCCCGAGAACTATGGGGAAATGCTGCCTTTCGAGGAGGTGGAGACGCGGCTCCTCGTCCACCCAGGCAACCAATCGGCCTTTCTCCAAGTGCTGTTCCAGATGATGTTCGTGCATCGACGTTTCCCGTGGCCCTCCCGGCAGTAGCTTGCGGATGTCCAATACAGAAATGCCTCGCGGCTACTTTGGGCTTGGGGTGGCGTCAGGCTCATGAACCAAAATTATCAGAATCGTTCTGGCGGTGCCTGGTGTGTTGCAAGCGCTTGTCGTCGACGGTAACCTTTGGCACGTCCTTGCGGCACACGGCCTTGGCAGCAGGGTAGACGACTCGGAACACCTCTTCGATTCAAGATGAAGCGCAATCTCGGACACTGCTACTGTCTGGATGTTTGCTTCGTGAGCAGAACCGAAGAAGACAAGCTTGTCGTCGCACTGAGGAACACCAGGCTGCTGTCCAGGTGGTAATGTGGAGAAACCAGAAGACATGTTTTACGGGAGGTCTGCCGGCAACGTCGTCGACGTGTTGTTCAGGTGAGGGATAGATAACAAGTAGATAGACTAAATTCACCTGCTTCGTGGGTACGGTCCTAGGCCCTTTTTAGTGCCGGTTGAATAGTGTCAGGCGTCTGCTCTAGTGCCGGTACAATCTCGGACACAGACGGAGCCTGATATAGTGCCAGACCGGCACAAAATCGGGCGGGCCCGATAAAGGGCCGATTGAGCGCGATTGTACCCCCCAATAGTGCCGGTTCACGCGCGCACACGTATACCATAGACGAAAGACAGGCAGAAGACAGACTCCACACAGAGAGAAATACGGGATGTTGCAGACCCAAACAGCTCTACGAGGCGCACCATGCCATGTGCGGAAGGTGAACTATGCCTTCAACAGGGCAGAACGCCTCAAGCCCCTAATGATCAGGTCTGCAAGGGAGGATGTGGCGGGAGACACAGCTTTAGTATTATAGTATTGGTCTTGCAGTGCGCTTCCTGTCGTGCTTCTGTTTTTGTTTGTATATCTTTGTCTTCCAACATCGAATCAGGGCATCGAGGAAAGAGGTTCGCCTCCTCCACACGAATGGGAGCCCTACAAGCATTTGTTGCAGTCAAGGTGAATCGGGTGCATGATATGTGTCTTCCTCTCGCCCAACCCTAGTGCTGTTGAGGTTGCCCAAAATGGTGGGATCCATGTGAGGTCAATGCCACTGCTTTCTTGTCCTCAAAACATCAGGCAGCAGTTTGGCGTATCCCTCTGGAAGACGGCAGAGCAGCACATACGCATTTGAAGGATTCGCGCGACATTTCAGGCTGTGCAGGACGTGTGTGCGGTGTAACGTGGAAGTGTTTATTTGCAACAACCTCCGTGTGTTCGACAAGGTGGGATCACACGTGCCGCGAGAAAGTCTGCCCACACCCTCGCTACAACTTCACCAATTTCGATCCATTTCGTAATCTGTTAGCCCCGCAAATCGCGAGCGCCACGCCATGAAATCAAACACGCCGTCAAAAGTGGTGCCAGATCGGCAGTATTGAGGGCTATCCGAAACCTGAATAGTGCCGTTTTGGCACTATTCGGAGTAGTGCCGGTGAACGGTCTGGACACGTACCGTCACCAAGAATGGCCCAGTACTATTGTATCGCCGTCGGTCAGTATGGTGTGTCCATGTTGCGTGCGGGGGTTCGGTTTCGTCGACATCTCTCGCGAAAACATGAACACCTTGGTTCCACACGACACCTAAACACGATGTCATGCCTTCAGTCTCGAGCGAGAACACAAGAACATCTGTTTTGCAGCCTTTCGTTTAATACGAGACTTGGCCTAAAATCTGCAACCTATACCCTTGACCTTTCGCGTTTGTCGAGTTCCATTTCGTCTGTCGGAAGCCGATCTGTGTGTTCTCGGAAGCCGATTTGTCTGCTCGCATGGTGACGATGGCGCACGGGTTGCCATTGTGTGCCGTGAACCATATGTCGCTTGGTGTTCTACGCTTAATGTTGGCGCCGGCGAGGAAGACTGCACCTTGATGTTTTCTTTGCACCCCAACCTCCTCCCCTCCTTGTGCGCCGGGAATTCCCGTCCGACTCGATAGGCAGTCGCGAACGGCGCACCGGCTGCATTTGCTGCGGCCGTGCCAGATCTGCTGACGTTCGTGCGTGGGCCTTCCTTCTGTTCGAGGGGAAAAAGAGCGGCTCTTGGCGTGGTTGGAGTCAAAGCTTGAAAAAGGCCAGAACTGACACTTGCAGCCCGTGCGTGGTTTGGGTGGCCCCAGTCATGTGTTGAGATCTGCTGGCTTGTCAGTAGAGATGGCTTGCGCAGTGCAGGTATTGGTAGCCCATGTGGGTTGATTCTCTAGTTACTGCCCAGTTATGTTTGTTTTTACGGTGACTCTCTTTGTATCCCCTTCGCCACAGTTCTGTGCTTTACGCCTCGTGTGCGAAGACATCGGAAGTTCAGCAAATAAATATGGTGCAAAGGCCTTGGTTAGGGAGATTGGTCAAACGAGTTCCGTCATTCTTTTTGTGGAAAGGCGACAACAATGCTTTTGGTGAGGGTGGCCCTTGTGGGATCCCAAGGCCAAGTCTACGTGGTTCTTCTCATCGTGCAGAAATAGGAAGCTCAGCACTTTTTCATTCATAATAGAGGGTGGGTGCGTAGTTTCCCGTGGTGAGCGATGCTTGCCGGCAATGAAATTATATTTTTTGTTCTACCAGGTATTTTTTGGTTCTTCGGGCGTCTGCGGAACGAATTAGTTGCAAGTTCAAAGCTTTGATCTTCGTTTTCTTCGGGCAAACGGTTGTCAATCTTTGGACAGACCAACAATCGATCTCTCGGCCCCAGGGATACCGTCAAAGGGGCGAGTTGGCCTCACTCGCGAGAATGGGGGCTCTTCGCGCTCAGGAAAGTCGCGTGCCAGCACTCCGACGCAGACACGGCAAGCGCGGTGGTGGTGATGTGGGAATCCCAGCTCGCCCGTCGATCTCTTGTTTTCCGCCCCTCCACGGCTTGTCGACGAGTTTTTCGATCGATCGCAGCACCACAAGGAACGGTTCTAGCCGTTTCAGGATCGTTTCCTGACTACAGCTGCCACGAACCCGCGAACTGTGAACGTGCCCCAGAAACGCCGCCAGCTGTGGTACCGCCGCCGTGCTTGCCCCCGACCATCTTCGAGTCTCAATAACAACCACCCCCTGGTTCACATCGCAGAGGTCCTGCAGCACTGCGAAAAAACTGAAGGCCTCCACGAGAATATTTAGGTGTACTCGCGTCCAAAACCCAATCGATCCAATGGACGTTGTGCGTGCGCATCAATTATTTGTGCTCTCCCTCAGGTGTTGTCAAAACAAAAAGAATGAAAAAATCGTACTTATTAATACAGTACTGGGCCCTCTATAGTGCCGGTTGAATAGTGCCGGTGCCCGGTATAGTGCCTGTAAAATCTCTCGACACAGACGGCGCCCTCAATAGTGCCGGTCCGGCACTACTGAGGGATGGCCCGTTATAGTGCCGGTTGGGCGCCACGTCAGCCCGCAATAGTGCCGGTTGAATACCTGCTGTAGGACACACACACACAGCCTCCCCCATGCTGCCCCCTCACGAGGTCCCAGTTCATGGAAGGCCAAGATGCCCGTCACACGCGACGTCCTTCGAAGCTTCGGCCGTTCCGCCAGGACAACCCTGCTGGCTGACACCGCAACTTCTGCAGCAGTGAGGGCGAAGGTCGAGGACTTCAGGGCCGGCGAGAAGTGGGCAAAGAACTTCGTGAAGCGCAACAACATCCACAGCGTGCGACTTCATGGCGAGGCTGGTAGCGTCAACATGGCGGCTATCAAGGAGGGCATGGACGAAGTCAGGGCCCTTTGCGCGAAGTACCCGGCTAGGTTCATCTTCAACGTCGACGAGACAGGCCTCCAGTGGAAGCTCCTGCCCAGGCGCACGTACCTTTCCACCTCGGAGGATCGGAAGACGGCGCGGGGTTCAAAGAGCATGTACTTCAAGGACCGACTGTCTGCCTTCATGTGCTGCAACGCCGACGGCACTGCGAAGGTTGACATGGCCATCATCGGGAGGGCAAAGGAACCCCGCTGCTTCAAGAGCGCGCCTTCACCTCTCAAGTACTACTCGCAAACCAACGCGTGGTCCGACTCTGCGACGTTCCTCAAGTGGTGGCTTCAAGTCTTCCTCCCGTTCGTTCGGCGCTTCACTCACGAACCTGTGCTGCTGCTGATGGACGGCTGTGCCTCTCACGGTGATCTCGTGGATGACCGGGGGCAAGTGACCGTCAAGTTCTACCCTCCGAAGTGCACCTCCGTACACCAGCCCATGGATCTGGGGATCATTGCCAAGACGAAAGTGGTCTTCAGGAAGGAGTTGCTCGACGTGAAGACATCAACTATGTTGGTGGCTGACACACTTCGCGCCCAGGCGAAAGCCCGCAAGATGAAGGCCGGGACAATGGGGCTGGCGCAAGGGCACCAACCTCATCTGCGGGACGCCGCAGAACTTCTCAAGAAAGCATGGGCCAGCATCACCGCCCAGGATATCGCCAGGTGAGGTTTGAACGTGTGGTATCGCTTGTTTTTTTTTTCAGCTCCCTCAAGTGCGCGTGGCTTTGGTGGTGCGATACGTGGGGACAGGCGGGGACAGCTGTACGGACAGTGTGGCATAGGTTTCTTCCTTTTTTTTTGACTGCGTATTGCAGCATCCGGATATGCCCATTTTTCTTTCTACTAAATGGTCCTCTATCGCATCCCCATGAGTAATTCTTCGTCACTCCCGTCCAACATCGCTTGTCCGCCCCAAAACGGATGCATTGCATTTTCTGCTACCTGGCACAGGTGCTTTGTCAAGGCCGACACGCTTCCGTCAGAGATGGCGGCTGAGCTCACCACACAACACGGAAAGACCCGGTTCAGCATCGCCGAGCCTGACCTGAAGGCTCTCACGGAGACCGTCAACAAGTTGAGCACGAGCGTCGGCGAAGCGCAAAAGCAAGGAGCCGGCATCGTAGACGAGGAAATCAGCGAGCTCTTCGCAGAACTCGACATCGAACCCGGAAAGCCGGTCGAGGAAGAAGCGGTGAGCGCGATTCGGGGGTGGGCTACCATCGAGGACGACGAGGAGGTGACGGAGGCTCTTCGACTGGACGCAGCGGACGAAATGGCGGAACTGCTGGCTGGAATGCAAGTGACTACCGGCGGTGATGAGGAGGACGAAGTGGAGGGCAGTGACGATGACAACTCGGGGCCCGAGCGCCGTGCTCCACCCGATTATACTGAGCTGTCGCCTCACTTCAGCGTCCTGGAAGCGGCAGCAGATGAGAGTGGCAACGCAGACGCGGCGTTCTTCCTAACGAAAGCGAAGATGGCGATGATTGCAGCGCATTCCGCTAGGCGGGTGCGCCAGGCAGACATGAGAGAGTTTGTTGCTGGTACAGAGTAAGGTTGAAGGGCAGCTGGTGTTGCAATGTTGCAATGGTTGTTTGCTTTTCTTCCGGTGCGCTTCCTGTCGTGTTTTTCATTGTCACCGTTTTTTCTTGTCACATCCAAGGGGGTGCGCCAGGCAGACATTACAGAATTGCTGCTACGTTGCGAGGGCGGGGAGAACAGCTGTGGTAGAGTACAGTACTTATGTAATGGTCATTTATTTTCCGTGCGGTGCGCTTCCTGTCGTGCTTGTGTTCTTGGGGTTGTTTTGATTCTTTCTTGCGACATCCAAGGGCGCCAGGCAGACGTTACAGAATTGCTGCTATCATACGTTGCGAGGGCGGGGAGAACAGCTGTGGTAAATTAGAGGTGTGATACATATGATCGTTTATTTTCGTGCGGCGCGCTCCCTGTCGTGGTTCTCTGTTGTCTTTTTTTTTCTGGCAACATCGAAGGAGGGCAACGAGGACTTAGACGTTCACTAATAATACACATATGCATACATATTCGATCCACGATCCACATCGTTCTCTGTTGGTCCCGCAAAGCTTGAGCGCTGCATCATGAAATCAACACCTCCTCAGTAGTGCCGGACCGGCACTACTGAGCCTTCGAATATCCCTCAGTAGTGCCGGACCGGCACTACTGAGCCACTGTTCTGAATACTGCCGGTGCCCGGTATAGTGCCGCTATTTTCTCGGGACACCACCCGGCACTATAGAGGGCCCAGTACTGTATAACACAAATTACGAGTCCCGGCTCTTGTATGGGGAGGTTCAGCTTCTCCTTTACTACTCTGTGTATGTCTTTCAACAAAAACATACACCGAATTATTGTTCGTCAGCATGTTTGTTTTTTTTCTGCCCTGTCTTATCTTGGACCAACCTCGGTCCGCACAGCAATCTTGAGGAAGTAGACCTACTGTACGTCGACTACATATTTGCAGTGTGTAGGACATGCACCCGTCGGTAATTTTCTTAGTTGCGAACATGGTACACGAGGGGGGTCAGCAGCGGGCGGTTATTTTGAGATGGACGTTTCGTACTTGAGTTGTAAGACTTTGGAAAACTCAGATATGCAGGTGTTTCCTGGATTCTTGAAGAGGAAAACCGCCTACCCCAGTGCGCCTGTAGAGAATGCTGCCGTCACTCTTTTGAGCATGTAGTCTAGACTATGGTGTACGTGCCATTTGTCTCTTCGACATACACACGTCGTCTTGGACACCAAGACAAGACTTGAGGAACGAACACGAAAGAAAGTACCGTCGAGGAATAGAACGACGCAGCATAGCCAGGGCTGCGGTGAATTAACGTCGATCCCGCTAGCTAGCAGACTGACTGACCAACGAAAATACGTTGTTGGTGTGTCGCGGTCATCCGAGAAGGGTATGTATGCGGGGGAATTCCGACCATGCGCAACCCTTGTCACCCACATGACATCCCGGGATATTCGGAAGAACGGAAAGAAACACCGACCAAATTGCGACCGAGCGGTTTTGAAGTACCTTCCGCACGCTCGTCGTTGTGTTGCTTACATGGGGAACACATTCACCGTCTTTTACATGAAGGCATTTTTAGGCACGATCAAGAGTGCATCAGGCTCTCTTGTTTCGCACTTACATCAGCATACGGAGGCCTCCCGGGCCCATGGAGGGGCTTATCACGGGGGCCCCGTGAATTCTACCCGTTCCAATTCTCGGGCTGTTGTGCTAGGCAAGCACCCCGAGCCGCAGACTACCAGGTCAAAAAAGAACATACGATCGAAACATCATGTCAACGTAAACAAACAAACCAAACACTCCTATGTAACTTGGGGGGCACGTAGGTTCAGAGGGGGGTAAAAGGGTCGAGTATGCCAACGTGAACGGGAAAAAGCCCCCAGATACGGGCCTTTGGCAAGCGGCGCAGCTTCGCCGCCAACCATTACACTATTCACCACATCCGCCCCATCTTCGTAAAAACCACGACCCGTTCTCTCGAAGACAAGCCTTCCCCGCCGAGTAACAAGTGAGAACTCGTCCCGCGCCAGCAAGCGTAGTCCGACTGCACGAGCACCCGAAACATGTCTTATATCCGAGACACGGACATGCATTACGTGGCACCAAGATACCACACCCCCTCGATCGATTTTCAAAGCAATACTGCTCCACGGCCAACGACGATTTATGAACCAAACGATACATTTTCGGAAAGCCCTCGACGAGACGGTTCAGTCACTACCATCATCTTCGGCATCGCCACTCTTTCAACGGTGGAGTAATCAAGCCTTGAAAATCGGGCCAGGGGGTGTGGTATCTTCCGTCACCTACGGTAGTCTCTCGTGCTCGACTCGGAGAGGTGGTTATGAAACAACTCGACAGTCTCTGCAACGGTTTCACCAAAAGCAATCAAGTCTAGAAGCAAAAGTTATCGTACCGGCAATTGCTCATATAATTCTATCGGTGTTTTGGAACCTCACTAAATGCTGGGCGCAAGAAAAAAAGAAGCGCACAATACATGGGGGGACACCAAGGGCTCGCCCCCCCGCCACCCCTATCGGCGTTCCAGCTCGTCTCTACTTGACAACCAAAACAGATACGAAGAAATCGTTATACATGTGTCGCTGACAAGCTGTTTCTGACGTTACAAGCCCCCGTGAAAGGTGTCTTCTGCCGTCCTTGTCGTCGTCTTGCCCTATTGCCCCCCCCCAACGTTCCGCCCTCCCTCCCATCCCGGTCCTTCCATTGGCGGCATGAATGCTCTAGTTCTGCGGCTTGAGTGCCGCGCTCTTCGCTTGGCAGCTGACGGACGGCGGCCGACAAAAAACACGGCAGGAGGGGTTCACGTGGTGGGTGAAACGACGGCCGAAAGACGAACAAGCTCGAACCAGAAAATGCAAGCATTCAGCAATGGGGACAACAACATGGAACAGTGGACTCCAGTGTTCCCGACACCATCGCGGTTGTACCTCGGGTACACCGCGATGAGAGGAACAGCGGCACTTGGCGCACCGAAAAGACATCAATCACGCCCCCCGCCACTGCACTTCACGTACCCCCCTCGCGCTAGAAAAAAAAGCCGCTCAGCGTTGTGTTTGCATGAGCGTCTGCTTGTCGTTGTGGCGCAGCTTGCCTGCTCGACAGACACCCTCGCATGATCTCGGCCGCTTGGCGCAGCTTCAACTGTTTACAAGAAATAAATCAAGCGCCTCGAGGGAAAAAGAATTTGGGGAAGAAATCCAACTCTAGAAAAATGCCGACGCTAAAATACACAAAGTGGGATCCAACTGCTGTAGTAGAGCTGCAAAAACCTTGAAAAAAGCTGGAGCACGCGTTTGTGCCGTGGGCGCTTCTGTCCAGGGGAGGGGGGGGTCTCGTACCAACCGCGAATTCCCCAAGTTAACACTAAAGGACGCGGACAAGACGATAGGTCCGACCGCGTCCCTAGTTTCTCGTGAACCTGGGAGATAAAACTAACTCAAGTAGTGGATCCAGCACACTTCCCGCTTCCGTCGTTGTCCAACCGATAAACACCAACTTTGGCTGTGGACAACAGTGGCCTTTCGTCTTTTTGATCCTTGTCACAAAACCGACGATGGGGCTTGGGATGAGGTTTGACGTTGTCTGCAAAGCGTTGCTGGCGCCCAACGGGGCTGGATAACGAAACCAACCACCACACATATCGAGGCGGGGTGTCTTCCACAGGACGGCCGCCACTGAAGAGCTTAGCAGTCAACAACTTGACCCTGAAAAAAAGACAAAAACCAAGAACTTGCCCATAAGAACAGGTGCTTAATCGAAAACCCTACATGTGTATAGTCGTCGTGGAGGCACGCCATAGATGCAGTAAGAAACAAGCCTCGGCGAACAAAAGGTTCTCAACCCTCCTAGTAATGGAAGCCTGAATGGGGACACTTTTTGGGAACCAGCACTCAAATGCCTATTTACGGCACCGTAGTCACCCTAGGCTCCGCTGTGTGAAACGCACATGAGAACCCTTGGTCTATCATTAGGCTAAATAGTGCTCCCCGCCCCGGGTAGCAACTTTGCGAGGTGTGAACGGTGGATTAGTCAGCAGTGGGAAGGGAAAAAGGGAAGTTCTAGCAGGACACTACAAGAGACTTGGAGTGCCCTCGGAGAATGAAGCTTTTGACCAAGCGTTTAAGAAGGAGGTGGACGCATGGGCCCAAAAAGAAGAAGAGACATCGAAGGCAGACGTTGGGAACGTAGAACTAGAAAAGGAGTTCACTGAGGACGAGGTTGAGGCGTGTGTGAACAAGCTGAAGTGCCACAAAGCAGCAGGAGCGGATGGGATAGTCAACGAGTTCATGAAGTTTGGGGGGAAGGGGATGATCCAGCTGATGGTACTGCTGTACAATTGGGTGTGGAAAAACGAGTATACGCCAAGTAGATGGAGGGAAGGAGTGGTTGTGAACTTGTTCAAGAAAGGAGACAAGACTGACCCAGGAAACTACAGGGGGATCACACTGTTGAACACAGTAGGAAAAGTGTTCTGTAAGCTGCTGAACGATAGGATAGTGGGAGTATTGGAGAAGGAACATAGCATTAGTGAGGGCCAGGCAGGTTTCCGCAAGAAGAGGGGGTGCGTAGACCACGTGTTCACGGTAGGGAGAATCATCCAAGGTAGAAAGAGGGCGGGAAAGCCGACGTACTGCTTCTTCCTGGACGTGAAAAAGGCATACGACACCGTATGGAGAAATGGGTTGTGGAAACAACTGTCCAAATACGGGATCAAGGGGAAAATGTGGAGAGTGCTGAAGAAGATGACAGAGTGCACGAAAAGCGCGGTCATGCTAGACGGAGAACTGTCAAAATTCTTCGACATTGAGCAGGGGGTCCCACAAGGTTGCACGCTGTCCCCAACATTGTTCCAGGTGTTCATCAACGATCTGTTGGAAGTCGTAGAGGCAGTCCGGAAGGGAGTAAAAGTAGGGGACACGGAAACGTCGGTTTCAGGAATGCTGTTTGCGGATGATTTTGTCGGTATGTCGGACACCCCTGAGGGACTGCAACTGCAAATTGACGCGGCGAAGAAGTTTACTGATAAGTGGAGATTGTCTGCCAACGTTCAGAAGAGTGCCGTCATGGTATGCAACGAGAACAAGGAGGAACCAGTAGAACATAGATGGAAGTGGGGGATCGAGGAGATTGCAGTAGTGGACCAGTACACATACCTTGGAGTAGAGATCGCAAAAGACTGCTCGTGGAATGCACACATGTCCAAGGTAGCGGAAAAGGGCAAAGCACGAGCAGGGAAGCTGCATCCAATACTCGCAAACCGGCACCTCGATACACGCATCAAATTGACGGTTTTGAAGAGCGTAATCGTACCGCCGCTAGAGTACGCCGGAGAAGTATGGGAAGGAAATAAGAAGGTAGTGAAAGAACTCGAGGCGGCGCAGATGAAAGCAGCGAAAATCATCCTAGGATGCTCCAGGCGCACAAGTAATGCAGCCGTGAGGGCAGAATTGGGGATCCAATCCCTACGGTCGGGAAGAGACGCGAGGAAGCTGACCTGGCAGTATCGCATGTGCGGGATGGGAGAGGAGAGGTTGCCGAGAATTGTATGGGAGGCGAAGTGGGCAAACAAAAAGAGGGGTAGACAACCCACGGAATGGGTCAAGGTTGTAGAGGACGTATGGAAGGGGCTCGACATCGACGAAGATGAAACGCTGGAAACGGAGGGTCTACAGGGGTTCAAGGAGAAGATATCTGTTGCTTGTGCCGAGAGAGAAGAACAGAATCTGAGGAAAGAATCCAAGGATAAGGAGGGTCTAGAAGTGTACGGAATGTTGAAGGAAGGAATAGGGTTCAAGGACTACCTACATGGACCAATGGATGCAGGAACAAAGCTTAAGGTCAAATTCAGGACCGGGGACATAGGCCTTCGAGAACGTCGACGAAGACATAGGACGGTAGACGAGGAAGACGACGAGTTCAAATGTGATTGCGGCTTCGAATGCGAAGACCGTGTTCATGTAGTCGCGGAATGTCCGTTGTACAAGAAGGAGAGGGAAGTGTACGTGACTGAGCTGGGAAAAATAGATGGAACGTACAGGGAGATGTTTGAGGCATGGAATAGAGAGGAAAGGACGGTAGCTGTACTGGGGCATAGGAGGTGGGTTGAAAAGGCGGGAAGGGATATCGTTAGGATAGACAGACTAGGGAAGACATTTTTGAGCCACCTTTGGCAAAGTAGAAAGGAACGATTGGCCATCGGTGATCGGTCCTGTGGGAACAATGCTCCGTCCTCTCGAGGACGCGTGGTCAATGGTCTAACCGCTAAGACATGCAAAACATAAGAGTACGCCCCCCCCCGCCCCTTACCTTGCCGACGTGCGTTCGCGGATGTAGTTGTAGTTGCGCTCGAAGTCCGGCAAAGACCGGATCTCCAGCTTAGACCCGTCCCGCAATGTCAGCACCAAGTCTCCACACCTGCAAACGGAGGATAGGCCCGGTCCGGAGCACGTCGAAGACATCGAAATATTGTTGAGTTGCGACGCGACGACGCGTTGCTCTGTAGTCAACTCAAGGGGTCTAACGAGTGCGGCAAACGGAGGGTGGGTCCCATCCAGTGCACATCAAGACGACAACTGTAACATCGAAAACTAAAGGTGCGACGCGACGACGCGTTGCAATGCTGTAGTCAACTCAAGGGGTTCAACGAGTGCGGTCAGGGCAGATTGACGTGGCGGGGCCCCCTCTCGTCATAAACCCTCAAGGTAGCGAGGTAACCCTAAAATGAGGCAGTCGGTCCCGTCGAGAGGCGGCATCGCACGGCATGAGGGGACAAGTTCGCAAGAGTCAAAACCACGTACAGTACAGGTAGGAGGGTTTGCGCTTTGGCAACCATTCGGAAGACACAACGCGGCGGAAAGCGATGAATACACGAAAAAAAAAACAAGCTCGCGGCAACAGTAACGACAGATAGCGGGAGGGAGGAGAAATCTAGTATTGACCGTCCACCGAAAAAATAACAGCATACGCTACATTTCAACCCAGGCAGTATCGCAACCTTTCCCGCGAGTTAGTGTTGGTGCGCAAAGCTCAAGATAATTATGTGCTGCATGCCGCAGCGCACGACAGCAGTCACCAGGGTTTTCACCTCGAAAGAATCGAAACCGGCGGCTTTTGTATAGTGCTGCCTGACGCAAGCCACAACCAAGCGAGTTGCACAAGCGGAAAGCGCGAGCCCCATCTTATCTCCTGCGCCTACCTTCCGAAGAACCGCCATACGTACACCATGTCCACGATGTCGGGGTATACCACCTCCGTCGTGTCCTTCCCGTTCCAGCCGCTCACGATCTGCCGAGATAATCCGCGCACAAATCGCCGGGCAATGTGCGAAGGGCACACAAAAGAAAAAGTCACAGGTGACACAGGAAAGGGAATGAGATGATCACCGCGCTGATCAACGTACTTTGGCGCAGCTGGACAAGGAGGACACGCTTTCGCGTGCGCGCTCACCCCCTCCCCCCCCGAACACCGGGATGCCCAGTCAACCCATGACATTCGATTGTATCTGGTTTGGCACAACAAACGAAACGACGATGACCAGCTTCTGGTCCATCATTGTGAAACGTAGCCTGGGCCAGCAAAAGCCCGGCATATCGCGCCGTCCCGGTATTGAGGGATGCGAGGCCAACGGTCTACCGACCACGGCATTCGATTACAGGACCACCCCCCCCAGCCCNCCCCCCCAGCCCCCCCCCCCGGTGTTTGCCATCGGGGTTGAGTTGTCGTCGCTTGGCAACGACGTTGTAAAACACGCCGCCCCCCCCCGCAATCTAGACTTGAGTGAGTTGGCGCTGTTGGTAAAGCGCTGTAAAACACGCCACCCCAAATATAGCCCCCATAGTATGCGCTACCAAAGACGCGTGACGCATGGATGCGTGGAGTGAGGATTGCCTACGGAAAACTCACAGGTTGAGTGATGTAGGAGATTGTCAGACACATAGACGTGTTGAGTGACTATAGCTGTATACTGAAACCCCACGTGTTGAGTGAGGTTTGAGATTGCCATACACATGGACGGGTTGAGTAGGGATAGCTGCATACTGAAACCCCACGGGTTGAGTGATGTTGGAGTGCCAGACACATGGACGCGTTGAATGAGGATAGCTGCATACTGAAACCTCACAGATGCATTGGTTTTTGAGTGTGCCAGACACATATCATAGACGCGTTGAGTGGGGATAGCTGCATACTGAAACCTCACAGACGGATCGGTTATTGAGTTTGCCAGACACATAGACGCTTTGAGTGGGAATAGCTACATACTGAAACCTCACGAGTTGAGTGAGGTTGGATAGTGCCGGACACAGACGCTTTGAGTGAGGAAAGACACATACTGAAACCTCACAGTTTGATTTGTATTGGAAATTGCCGGACACATAGACATGTTGAGTGAGGATAGCTGCATGCTGAAACCTCACGAGTTGAGTGAGGTTGGATAGTGCCGGACACAGACGCTTTGAGTGAGGAAAGACACATACTGAAACCTCACAGTTTGATTTGTATTGGAAATTGCCGGACACATAGACATGTTGAGTGAGGATAGCTGCATGCTGAAACCTCACGAGTTGAGTGATGTTGGATAGTGCCGGACACAAAGACGCTTTGAGTGAGGAAAGACACATACTGAAACCTCACAGTTTGATTTGTATTGGAAATTGCCGGACACATAGACATGTTGAGTGAGGATAGCTGCATGCTGAAACCTCACGAGTTGAGTGATGTTGGATAGTGCCGGACACAAAGACGCTTTGAGTGAGGAAAGACACATACTGAAACCTCACAGGGTGATTTGTATTGGAGATTGCCGGACACATAGACGCATTGAGTGACGAAAGCTGCCTACTGAAAGCTCACAGGTTGATTTGTATTGGAAATTGCCGGACACATAGACGCGTTGACTAAGGATAGCTGTATACTGAAAATCCACAGTAGCTATAGTGAGGGGACAATTCGAGGATACAGTACACATAGAAGCGACCCCCAACCGGTACCCGAACCCCCCCGGAAAAATAGAGGCCATGCGCCCCCCCCCTCTCTACCTCCCCCAGACGATGAGGAGGGTACAGTCCAAAGTAAGCACAAGCTTATCTAAGGTCAATGCCTTTTGGTACGGCATTAAAAAAAGTACTAAAAGCCCCCCAGTGGGCGGTGGAGGACTTAGAGCTAAGACACCCCAATACTCTCCGGCGTGAGATCCAAAATGGATCGGACGGTGGAGGGGGGGGGGGGGTTCGTTGCTTGAAG